ATAAGACAACCTGGAATAAGAATATTTCAAGACCAATAAAAAATAAAAAGATAATCTTATTAAAATTGAAAGAGTTGAATTCCCTCAAAGAGAGATTACTTTCTTACTTAGCATATTAGGCAAATTTGATAATTCCCATTATTAGTAAGCATGTGAGGACAGAGGCATTCCTACATGGTTATTTGATGAAGTCTGATTCATATATTATAAAAAGCATGCAGGTAATCCCTGTCAACACCTAAAATATTAGACATTTCAATTTGAAAACTTCACATTAATTGAAACATGGCATGAGAATTAAAGTGCAAGTCTTTATGTGAATGTTTATTAACAGCACAAGACATCCATTGGCTGCAACTTACCTATACATCAAATACACATTAATTATTGCAAAGCCATACAATAAATTTCTATGAAACTACAAAAAAGAATGGCATTTATGGCCAATGTGAAATTATATCCACAATTGCTTATTACAGGCATAGTTTTTAGGACTTTTGCTGAGGGCCATTGCCAAGTAGGAATGATGCATCRAAATTTCCTTGCCAGCATTCCTCATGTTAAATGGACTTKCCTTGGACTTTCGCTGTGACCTTGCATGTGTGTTTGAGAAAGGTGACCCTGCTCAAGGACGAGGGTGGATCCAGGTTTAAGGTGTATCCTGCAGGTTTTAGGAAGTATCCCAGTCCTTGGTTTTAGGGCGTTCCGGGTTTAAGACAAGTTTAAGGCATTCCTGGTTTAAGACAATGTGATTTTAGGGAAGTTCGAGGTTTAAATTTATTGCTGCTGGGAATAGGGCATTCCTGCTGCCTGAGTTCCCGTTGAGTTCTCGTGGAATTGAGAAAGATTTGGGACGTGAATTGTGCGGGAGAATTTGGATTTCCCCAGAACGTGTTTGTTGAAGGCTGGTGTCAGTTCGGGAATAAAGAATTGCTATTTGAATCTACAAAGTGTGAGTGGCTCGTGATCTTGTGCCCAGCCAAGACTGCGCCATTTGGTGGTCC